TATTTGCCTAAGAGTTGAATTGCTGGATTATAAGAATGCATGTGTTCAGCTTTTATAATAGTACTAAACAGTTTTTTAAAGTATTTTACTGAATGACATTCTCACCACCAGTGAATGAGAGTTTGGCTACTCTGCCTCCTTGCCAGTACTTCATATTTTCTTTTTCATTGGAGGCACTGTATATAGTGGTCATAGTATCTCATTGTGATTTAATTTTCATTTCCTTAATGATTAATAACATATTTACATGTTTATTGGCCATTTAGATTCTCTTTTGTGATACTCTTAAAGTTTGAGTTTTTTTAGTTGACATAATTGTGCATATTTATGGGGTACAGAGTAATATTTTGACACATGTATACAATGTGTAATACTCAAATCAGGGTTATTGGGATATCCCTCACCTCAAACATTTATTTTTGTATTAAGAACATTATAATTCTTATCTTCTAGCTATTTTAAAATATATAATACATTGTCATTAACTATTGTCACCCTGCTCTGCCATCAAACATTAAAGAACATATTCCTTCTAACTGTATGCTTGTACCCATTAATCAACTTCTCATCATCCTCCCCTCCCCCACTCCCTTCCCAGCCTCTGGTAACCACCATTTTACTCTCTTCATGAAATCCACTTTTTAAGCTCCCACATATGAGTGAGAACATACAATTTTTGTCTTTCTGTTCCTGGCTTGTTTCACTTATGACTTCCAGTCCCATCCATATTGCTGCAAATGTTTCATTTGTTCTTAGGACTGAATAATATTTCATTGTATATAGATACCACATTTTCTTTATTCACTCTTTCATTGATGGACACCTAGGTTGATTCCATATCTTGGCTATTGTGAATAATGCTAAAACAAACATGGAGGTACAGATGTCACTTTGGTATATGATTTCCTTTCCTTTGGATATATATCCAGAAGTGGAATTGGTGAATCATATGGTAATTTTATTTTTATATTTTTGAGAAAACTCCATATTGTTTTTTATAATGGCTGTACTATTTTGCATTCCCACCAACAGTTTATAAGGATTCCCCTTTCTCTGCATCCTTGTCAAATTTGTTTTTTGTCCTTTTGGTAATAGCCATTCTAACTGGGGTGAGATAATACCTCATAGTGGTTTTGATTTGCATTTCCCTGATAATAGTGATGCTGAACATTTTTTCATATACCTGTTGGCCATTTGTATGTCTTTTGAGAAATGTCTATTCAGTTCATCTTCCCATTTTTAATCAGATTATGTTTGTTTGCCACTGAGTTGCTTGAGTTCCTTGTATATTTTAAATATTAATCCCTTGTCAGATGAATAGTTTGCAGATATTTTCTGCCATTCGACAAGTTGTCTCTTCACTTTATTGATCATTTTCTTTACCGTGCAGAAGGGATTAGTTTGATATAATCCCATTTACTTATTTTCGCTTTTGTTATTTGTGCTTTTGAGTTCTTATTCACAAAATCTTTTCTCAAACCAATGTCCTGAAGCATTTCCCTGTGTTTTTTTCTAGTTGTTTTATAGTTTGGGCTCTTACACTTAAGTATTTAATCCATTTTGAGTTGATTTTTGTATATGGTGAGAAGTAGTAAGAGTCTTCTGCAGATGGATATCCAGTTTTCCCAGCAAGAGGTTGTTCTTTCCCCAGTGAGTGTTACTGGCACTTTGGCAAAAATAAGTTGGCTGTAGACATGTGGATTAATTTCTGTGTTCTCTATCCTGTTCCATTGGCCTATGTTTCTGGTTTTATGCCAACACTGTGCTGTTTTGGTTATTACAGCATCGTAGTATATTTTGAAGTCAGATAGTGTGATACCTCCAACTTTGTTTTTGTTTGTTTGTTGCTCAGGATTGCTTTAGCTATTCAGGGTCTTTTGTGGTTTCATACACATTTTATAATTTTTTCCTATTTCTGTGAAGAATTTCATTGTTAATTTGACAGGAATTGTATTGAATCTGTAGATGGTTTTGGTTACCCTTGATAGGAATCGTTTTGGATCTGTAGATTGTTTTGGCTACCCTTAAATTTTTAACATCTATATTTAACTGTTTTTCTTAAAAAATATATATATATAAAGATATTCACTGTCTCTATTCCTTACCCAATCTAGTTGATAAAGTCCCGTAGCAACATTTAAATTACTACTATTCTCCCACTTACCAGTTCTATTCTTTTGAAAAAGCTATTTAGCCTCAATTTGCCTCATCTGTTTTCTCAAATGTAAAGTGCAGAAATCATAAAATTTGGAGAATTAAATAATGTTATTAAAGCACTTTGAATAGTGTCTGGCATATGGTATTTTCAGTATAAATGTTAGATATATTTTTCATATATAGCATCATTTAAATTTATTTGACTTCCTAATTTGGGGCATTTAGAGTTTTTATGTTACAAGTATCACTATGAGAAATAATCTTATATAACCTTTCTGTATCACTAATTAATTCCTGAATGTAGACATTTCTGATCTCAAAGAAAACTAAGATTTGACAGGCACTATCTTGAAGCTGGAAATTACTTAGAAAATAATACAAATATGGAAATGACAAAAGTCTTTATCATGTCATATTCTTAGAGAAACTTAATAGTACATTCACACAAAAGATCTTCAGTTAGTTTTACCCTCAATCTTTTCCCAAAATAATATACTCCTCAGTTGTCTTAAGGTTCAAACTCTATAAAGCCTCCTATGAAATCTTTCTTTCTGGGCTGGGCTCGATGGCTTACACCTGTAATCCCAGCACTGTGGGAGGTTGAGACAGGTGGATCACTTGAGGTCAGGTGTTCGAGACCGGCCTGGCCAACTTGATAAAATGCCATGTCTACTAAATATACAAAAAGTAGGCCAGGTACGGTGGCTCACACCTGTAATCCCAGCATTTTGGGAGGCCGAGGATCACCTGAGGTCAGGAGTTCAAAATCAGCTGGGTTGACATGGTAAAACCCTGTCTCTAGTAAAAATACAAAAAATTAGCCAGGCATGATGACAGATGCCTGTAATCCCAGCTACTCGGGAAGCTAAGGCAGGAGAATCACTTGAACCCAGGAGGCAGAGGTTGCAGTGAGCAGAGATTGCTCCATTGTGCTCCAGCCTCAGTGACAGAGCAAAACTGTCTTAAAACAAAAAAATAAAAATAAAAACCAGAAAGCTTTATTCTTCTTATTCCTCTTCCTCCTCCTCCTCCTCCTCCTCCTCCTCTTCCTCCTCTTCTTCTTCTTCTTCTTCTTCGTCTTTGTCTTCTTTCTTCTTTTTTGAAAGCTTTTTACAGTTTCTGCAGATTTCAGAATCTTAATGAAGACTTGACCAACTTATAATTACCCCATGCCTTCTTCATTCCTAATTATTTTTAATACATACCAGAATTACTGTAATTTGTAGCAGTGATAAGATAATGGGGGGAAAACCCCAGAGGACTGGCTTTAATTTGCTGCATAACCTTAGTTCATTACTTTTCCTTCGTGGAGCTCAATTTTACCATCTGTAAAATGAAGGGTAACATCCTTTTAATTCCTATAGGTGTTTATCTTTCACTTTATAATGTTTTCGGTTACCTTTCTTTCTTTCTTTCTTTCTTTTTTTTTTTTTTTTTTTTTAGACGGAGTTTCGCTCTTGTTACCCAGGCTGGAGTGCAATGGCGCGATCTCGGCTCACCGCAACCTCCGCCTCCTGGGTTCAGGCAATTCTCCTGCCTCAGCCTCCCAAGTAGCTGGGATTACAGGCACGCGCCACCATGCCCAGCTAATTTTTTGTATCTTTAGTAGAGACGGGGTTTCACCATGTTGACCTGGATGGTCTCGATCTCTTAACCTCATGATCCACCCGCCTCGGCCTCCCAAAGTGCTGGGATTACAGGCTTGAGCCACCGCGCCCGGCCCTCTTTCTTTCTTTCTTTTTTAAGAGAGACAAGTTTCATTTTGTTGCCCAGACTAGAGTGCAGTGGAGTAATTTTAGTTCAGTGTAACCTCAAACTCTTGGGCTCAAGCTATCCTGCCGCCTCAGCCTCCCGAGTAGCTGGGACTAACAGGCAAGTGCCACCACATCTGGGTAATTTTTTCTTTTTCTTTTTTTTTTTTTGTTTTTGAGACAGAGTTTCACACTGTAGCCCAGGCTCAAGTGCAGTGGTGCTATCTCAGCTTACTGCAAATTCTGCCTCCCAGGTTCCAGTGAATCTCCTGCCTCAGCCTCCTAAATAGCTGAGACCACAGGCACATACCACCATGCTAGGCTAATTTTTTTTATTTTTAATAAACAGGGTTTCACCATGTTGGCCAGGCTGATCTCAAACTCCTGACCTCAGGTGTTCCGCCCTTCTCAGCCTCCCAAAGTGCTGGGATTACAGGCGTGAGCCACTGCACCCAGACCCTGGTTAATTATATTTTTTAATTTTTTGTAGAGATGGTGCTTGCTCATGGTCAGGCTGGTATCCAACTCCTGGCTTCAAGATCCTTCCGCCTCAGCCTCCCAAAGTGTTGGGACTACAGGCATGAGCCACCACGCCCATCCTCATATTACCTTTTAGATAAAACTTGTAAAGATTTCTAAGATCTTAAAAATTCCTCATATTTGTTGCTTTATTACCCTTATCTGCCTCCTTATAAAGATTGATAATACAAATCTTAAAATGAAAAGTGTCTTATGTTGGAGGGCTGCCAAGAATGAGACTGGAGAAATAAAAAAAAAACTAGACTGAGAAGGAAGAAAAACAGATAACAAGGTGGTGGCAGCTGTACAAACACAAACAAAACCAAAGTTTCAAATACTGGCATCGTCAAAGAAATGTGTCCTGGGCCATGATCATCAGGAGGCCCCGTGTAATTCTCTAATCCAGGGTCTTGGAGTTTATTAGAATTGCTTGGACTAGAATTCCCATCTCCCAATCTCCTGATTAATGTCTTAACACTACACCATGCTATATTATTTGAAGTATATAATTTAATTTTACCTAGAGATTGAAAATATATGCATGAAATAATCTTTTGTAATTTATTTGGATAGGTTTTTTAAATTACTTAACCCATTTTCTGGCTGCCGGTGCTGTTATTTTGGGAATTGGTTTCTTTGCTTTGGCATCAGCTTTGTGGTTCCTGATTTGCAAACGAAGGTAAGGTTTATTCGAATATTTGTTTAACCTTTTTTCCTTTTAAAACTTCAATAAAGGACTTTTTCAAATGGTAGTAAACTTAAATAACTATGATAGTATTGGTTGTGTAGTTTGGAATTTGGTCCCCCCTTTGGTTGGGGACTGAGGCTTTACATATTATAAGTAGCCTGAAAAAAGAAATACTGATAATAGCAACGTCCATGCATCGAAATTTTGAAGGATAACAAGACAGACTTTATTTTCTTCCTCCCTCCCTCCTTCCCTCCCTCCCTCCTTCCCTCCCTCCCTTCTTCCCTCTCTCCCTTCCTTCCTTCCTTCCTTCATTCCTTCTTTCCTTCTTTCTTCTTTTGACAGAGCCTTGCTCTGTCACCCAGACAGGAGTACAGTGGCATCATCTTGGCTCACTGCAACCTCTGCCTCCTGGGTTCCAGCGATTTCTCCTGTCTCAACCTCCAGAGTAGCTGGGATTACAGGCATGCCTGGCTATTTTTGTATTTTTAGTAGAGATGGGGTTTTGCCACATTGGCCAGGCTGGTCTCTTAACTCCTGACCTCAGATGATCTGCCCACCTTGACCTCCCAAAGTGCTAGGATTACAGGCATGAGCAACCATGCCTGACCTTTATTTTCTAGACAACATGGGTTTGATTGTAATGTGAGATGAAAAGTTTTTAAAAATTGACTCCCAGTTTTAGAGATTGAAAACATTACAGAAAAGAAAGCTTTTCTTCAGGAGATACTTAAGAAAAAAGCTGACAGAATGCCTTGGTATGGTCTAAAAGTGGTCTTTTGTCAGAAACAGAAAAAAGATTATTTGACACCTCAATTCCTTTCAACTGTAAAATTTGGTGTTTCTAATTATTAAATCGTTTCAGGTTGGGTGCCGTGTCTCATGCCTGTAATCCCAGCACTTTGGGAGGTCAAGGTGGGCTGATCATCTGAGGTCAGGAGTTTGAGACTAGCCTGGCCAAAATGGCGAAACCCTGTCTCTAGAAAAAATACAAAAAAAATATTAGCTGGATGTAGTGGTGCACACCTGTAGTCCCAGCTACTCTGGAGGCTGAGGCAGGAGAATCATTTGAACCCAGGAGGTGGAGGTTACAGAGAGCCGAGCTATTGCACTCCAGCCTGGGTAACAGGAGTGAAACTCCGTCTCAAAATAAATAAATAAATAAATAAACAAATAAATAATTTCAGTGTTTACATTGTCTAAGGTTTAAAACATATAAATTGTAGCATAATCTTCCCACACAGTCTTCCAGTGTTACCTGTCTCAGATGAATACACAATACCCATCTACATTCACTGGTCAGAAACCTAGAAATTATTCACTTACTTATTCTTCCAACAAATATTTATTAGGTGCTTGCCATTGTTCTAGGTATTGAGCATACAACTGTGAACAAGTTAAACAAGTTCCTGTTTCATAGATTTGCAATGCCACTAGCAGGGGACAGCTAATAAACAAATAAAGTAGTCAGAATATGTGTGTACTAAAGTAGGTTGTATTTAATGTAAGACCTAAGGTAGAAGGAACCAGACGTATGAAGACTTTGTGCAAGAGCCATCTAAACTAGAAGCAGAGCAAATACAAAGACCCTAAGGAATGGTCTTGACATATTTAGCAAACAGAAACAAAGCCAAGATGAATAATCTGCAGTGTGAGAGGAAAACAATCATGAGATTGAAGAGACATGTAAAGGCCAGATCACATAAGAATTTGTAGGCTAGAATATGGAGTTGGATTTTATTAGTGCCATTGGGAGGTTCTAAACAAGGGGAATAGCATTGTCATAGTAGCTAACACTGAGTGCTTTCTACATAGGTACTGTAATAAGTGCTTCATATGCTATCTCCTTTAGACTTAACCCAATGAGGTAGAAGCAATATTACCTCTATTTTATAGACTATCCTAGGTGGAGTGTGATGACTCATGCCTGTAATCCCAGCACTTTGGGAGGCTGAGGTGGGCAGATCACTTGAGGCTAGGAGTTTGAGACCAGCCTGGCCATCAAGGCAAAACTTTGTTTCTACTAAAAACACAAAAAATTAGCCAGGCATGGTGGCACAAGCCTGTAATTCCAGCTACCCAGGAGGCTGAGACACAAGAACCCTGGAGGCAGAAGTTGCGGTGATCCAAGATTGCACCATTGTGCTCCAGCCTGAGTGACAAGCGAGACTCTGTCTCAAAAATACATAAAGACTATTTTATAGCTGATTTACATTTTAATAACTGTTTAAAATTGAGGTTTAGTTTACATGCAAGAAAGTGCATAGATTTGAAATGTACAGCTATCAGTTTCAACAAATATACATCTATGTAACCACCACTCTATCAAGATAAAGAGCTTTTCCTTAGCCTGGAAAGTTCCCTTATGTTCCTTTCCAGGCATCACTCCCGACCTCCCACCTTAGAGGTTAGAATTATTCAGATTTCTATCACCGTAGATTAATTTTTCCTGTTCTTGGATCATATGGACTTTTTATGTCTGCTTTTTTTCACCCAACATATTTTCCAGGCTGGGCACGGTGGCACATTTTTTTGTGTGTGTGGCAAAACACTAAATATATTTATAGGTCATCTTTGTCTGGAACCAATGGGAAAAAACTAGGTGCAGAGGGGAAAGGAGGAGGGGAGGGGAGGTTTAAAAGTTCCAATCATTCACAAAAGATAGAAGACATCATCTGATAGCAGCACTGAAGCAGTCAGCTGTGCTGAGTAGACCATCCTGGGTCGACTGCAGACCAACTGTGTCCCAACAGGAGTTTCAAAGCCCTGCTCCTCGGCTAGTCCAGGGAACCTGGGCAATAGTTTGTTACTGTTGTTGCTTGTCCTGGTATTGGCAGAGATGTTAAATACTGCAACTTTAATGGGTCCTGGGCAAGTATGAGGTCAGTGTATGGTTATTTATCTGGAGATGTAGGTGTATGTTCAAGAAGGGGGAACATCTGTAATCGTGACACTTTGGGAGGCTAAGGTGGGCAGATCTCTTGAGGTCAGAAGTTCGAGACCAGTGAACAGTGAAACCTGGTCTCTACTAAAAATACAAAAATGAGTCGGTCACGGTGGCGCATGCCTGTAATCCCAGCTACTCGGAAGGCTGAGGCAGGAGAATCACTTGAACCTAGATGGCAGAGGTTGCAGCAAGCCAGGATCATGCCACTGCACTGGAGCCTGGGCAACAGAGCAAGACTCTGTCTCAAAATAATAATAATAATATTTTTGAGATTCATTTATATTGCATTTATCCAGCCATAGTTCATTGTTTTTGTTGAGTAATAATATTACTCAATCAAGGTATATTCCATTTGATGAATATACCTTGGTTTGTTTATCTATTCTTTTGTTAATGGACATTGGGGTCATTTTGTTTTTAGCTCTTAGGAAAATGGCTGCCATGAGCATTCTTGTATAAATCTTTTGTACATGTACTTTCACTTTTCTTAGGTAAATACCTAAAACTAGAATTGTTAAATCATGTGATTAGCTTTATAAGAAACTGCCAAACACTTTTCTGAAGTGTGTACACACTCCCACCAGCAATGTATGAAAGTTCTGATTTACACTTTTTAAAAAATATCTTTATGTCTCTGTGAAGCCTGTATTGTGATGGCGCAAGAGTGAAAGCAGAGAGGCAAGTCAGGAGACTATTGCATAGTCTGGGTGAGAGTTTATGGTGTCTTTTGCACTAACGTGGAAGTTGAGAAGATGAAAAGATGTAGCTGGATCTGAGATAGGTTTTGCAGGTAGAGTCAGCAGATCTTGTTGACAGATTGAATGAAAATGGCAGAATTAATGATGACACATAAGTTTTTACCGTAAGCAGCTACGTAGTTTATACTTTACTCAGCTCAGTTAAGCTCAGCCATCTTCCGAGACAAGGAGATTATGAAAGAGAGGAGCAATTTAAGGAGCAGATGATAAACTAAGCTTTGTATTTGGATGTAAGTTTGAAAGCCTGTTAGACATCCAAATGGAAAGGTCAAATAGGCAATTGGATATACATGTATAAACTTCAGGAGAGAAGTCAGGGCTGAAGATTTGATATATAGAGAGTATCTAAAGTCATAGAAATGGCTGAGACTAACCAAGGAATGAATGTCAAAAGAGAACATGTCCTACAACTGTGCTCTTCATGCCACCAACATTTAGAAATCTAGAGGAAGAATAGAAAGAATCAACAATGCCTGTGAAGAAAGAAAATCAGAAAGCTATGGTGTCAAGGAAGTCTAAATTTAAAACTGTTTCAAGAAGGTGGTGGCAGCTATATTGAAGGTACTCAAGTTGAGAAAGATGAGAACAGAGAAACACTTTTTGAATTTAGCAACAGAGATGTCATTGGTGACCTTGATGAACAGTTTTACTGGTATAAGAGGTTCAGAAGCTCATCTTTGAGCAAACACAAGAGGTGAGAACATTTAGACAAGTATAGACATCTCATTGTGAACAGGATTCCCCCAGCACAGTAGCTGGGGGAAAATGCAGGGTCAAGGAAGGAATGGGTTTTATTTTTTTCCCTAAAAATGAAAGACATTCTTGAATCTCCCTCTCTCTTCCCCACTCCAACTAGACTTGAATCATCACTACACTCTATTTACTTTACTTCATGTATTGCTCATATCTATTCAATTATCTCCTTTACCACAGCCACCGTCCTATCCAAGTTCTCTTTATCCCCCACAGAGACTACTGCAAAAGGAGTTATAACTGACTCCTACCTTCAGCATTGTACTAATTTAATCTTTTCTCCACACTTCTACCAGATATTCTCCAAGGGCAAATCTGATCAAGTCACCCTTTTTAATGGAGAACGCTTTTTTTTTTTGCGATGGAGTCTGGCACCAAGATCACACCCAGGCTGGAGTTCAGTGGTGTGAACTCAGCTCACTGCAACCTCCACCTCCCAGGTTCAAGCAATTCTCCTGCCCTAGCCTCCCAAATAGCTGGGACTATAGGTGCGTGCCACCACATCCAGCTAATTTTTGTATTTTTAGAAGAGACAGGGTTTTGCTGTGTTGGCCAGGTTGGTCTTAGGTGATCCACCTGCCATGGCCTTCCAAAGTGCTGGGATTACAAGTGTGAGCCACTGTGCCAGGCCCACCCTACCATTCTACCCCACGCTCACTATATTTTAAAGGACTTCATTGGCTTTGAGATAAAGATAAACCTTTTAAGGACTTACATGGTCTGCCCGAGCATATGCCCCAGTCTCATCTCTCACTTTCCCTCTTGCTTTCTGTGTTTCTGTTACATTGTTCTAATCTGGCCAGTAGGTCTTTGTATGTGATATTCTCTCTGTCTAGAATATTCTTACTTTCACATGTCCCCTCTTCCACCACATTCTATTTAAAAACTATTGCTGTTTCTTCAGATGCCCAGTTAAATCATCCCTTCCTTAAGAAAGCCTTCCCTGACCTCTCTAACCAAGTTAATTCCCTTAGTTACATCCACAATAGCAGGTAGCTTTCCTTGACAGCAATTTCCACTGTTGTAATTTTTCATTTTATTGTGATTACATTATTGTCGGTCTTCTTTACTAGTATTTAAGGTCAATGGAAGTAACGAGAATTCCATGAGGGCAGGGGCTGTTCTTTTTCCTTCTACCACTAGATATACAATACCCAGCATAATTCCTTGCACATAGTAAATACTTAATAAATATTCGTTGAGAATTGAATTCAATGAATAAGTGAACCCTAATTGTTAATGCCTCCTTAATATAATATGACCTCTCTCTCTCCTTTTTTTTTTTTTTTTTTTTTGATACGGAGTCTTGCTCTGTTGCCGCGGTCTCGGCTTACTGCAACCTCCGCCTCCTGGGTTCAAGCGATTCTTCCACCTCAACCTCTCCAGTAGCTGGGACTACAGGCTCATGCCAAACGCCCGGCTAATTTTTGTATTTTTAGTAGAGACAGGGTTTCACCATGTTGGCCAGGATGGTTCAATCTCTTGACCTTGTGATCCACCCGCCTCGGTCTCCCAAAGTGCTGGGATTCCGGACGTGAGCCACCACACCTGGCCCATAGTTTTGCCTTTTCCAGAATGTCATGTAGTTGGAATCATATAGTATTTAGCTTTTAAGACTGATTTTTTTACTTTAGTAATACACATTTAAGTTTACTCCTTAAAAGGCACGTCTTTTCATGCCTTAATAGCTAATTTCTTTCTTTTCAATACTAGAAAGTGTTCCATTGTTCTTCAAATCCTTTAGTTGAGAATGATGGTTTGAATCTACATTCCCTTATACTTAACTGTCTTTGATCATCTGAGGTTTTACTTACTGCTTTATTTTCTTTAACTCTCTCTTATTTATTTGCGGTTGTATGGATAAGAAAAGATTACAGACATTCCTCCGATGTGAGTCAGTTCTGTTTTTTTCCTCTTATTTATTGATTTATTTATTTTGAGACAGGGTCTCACTCTGTCACCCAGGCTGGAGTGCAGTGGTGCAATCTAGGCTCACTGCAACCTCTATCTCCCAGGTTCAAGTGATTCTCCTGCCCGAGTAGCTGGGATTACAGGAGTGTGCTACCATACACAGATAATTTGTTTGTTTGTTTGTATTTTTAGTAGAGACAGGGTTTCACCATGTTGGCCAGGCTGGTCTCAAACTCTGACCACAAGTAATCTGCCTGCCTTGGCCTCCCACAGTGCTGGGATTACAGGCATAAGCCACTGTCCCAGCCCCTCTTACTTTTTGCCAGAAATATGCTTAAATACCAAAATTGACCAATAAGTTGCATTTTATTTAATTTCCTTCACCATTAAGAATAATTTTATGGAAAGGCTAATTAACATTAAAGTCAATTAATTTTCTCACAACCAGAAGGAAATATATCAAAGACTCCTGGCTAACATTCAAACTGATAATAATAGCCCTGCATACATAGCTTAATTTACATTTCATGAATAAAATAAGTAGCTTAATTTATATTCTGTGAATAAAATAGAGGTAATAAAACCTAACATATGAGTAGAGAGTATGTAAATTGACTTGTGCTTTTAAAAATAAACATGCTATGATTTATTTATTCTGATTTTAAAGATTTATCTATAAATATTGGAAATAATAATTTTAATTGTTTTATAATCTAATTCAGGTTTAATAATATTCTTTGTAAAATATTTTTCAGAGAAATATTTCAAAATTCCAAATTTAAAGCAATTTATGAGAGATTCAGGCAAAGACCATCAAAGGCAAAGATTAAATCTCATTCTCAGTGTGTTTTTATTTCTCGAAATTTTCATACTGGGAGATTCCAATTACAGGTAGGTGTGATATTTTATAGCAGTCTTTTTAAATAATTTATTTCGATGCCATGTTTTTAGCATTACTTTCTTAAAATCTGAAGGACAGAAAATCCACTGTTATTTTTTAATTTGAGGGAAAAACTAGTTAGCGTTTATACTATAGGAAAACTGAAAAACTGCTTGGGAGTCTGAGGTGGGAGGATCACTTGAGCCCAGGAGTTCTGGGCGGAAGTGTGCTATGCTGACAGGTGCCCACACTAAGTTTGGCATCAATATGGTGACCTCAGGGGGGCAGGAGACCACCAGGTTGCCTAAGGAGGCGTGAAAATGAAGCAGATCAAAACTCCTGTGCTGATCAGTAGTGGGATTGTGCCTGTGAATAGCCACTGCACTCCAGCCTGGGCAACATAGTGAGACATTGTCTCTAATAAAAAAAAAAAATCATGATAAAACAATGCAGGAGGTGATAGACAAAATAGCCAGTGTAGAAAAGAGCATCACCAACCTGATAGAGCTGAAAACACACTACATGAATTTTATAATGCAATTACAAGTATTAATAGAATAGACCAAGTGGAGGAAAGAATCTCAGAGCTTGAAGATGAGCTTTCTGAAATTACAGTAAAACAAGAATAGAGAAAAAAGAATGAAAAGGAATGAATAAAACTTCTGAGAAATATGGAATTATGTAAAGAGATTTAAGCTACAACTCACTGGTATCCCTGAGAGAGATGAGGAGAACAGAACCAATGTGGAAAACATATTTCAGGATATCATCCATCTCTTTCAGGGAAATGCAAGAACTCCAGTAAGATACTTCACAAGAATAGCATTCTTCAGACACATGATCATTAGATTCTCCAAGGTCAAAATGAAAGAAAAAATGTTAAAGGCAGCTAGAGAGAAAGATCAAGCCACCTACAAAGGGAAGCCCTTCAGACTAACAGCAGACCTCTCAAAACTGACACAAGAACACAAAATCAAACACCAGATGTTCTCACTCATAGGTGGGTGTTGAACAATGAGAACACATGGACACAGGGAGGGGAGCACTACACACTGGGGTCTGTTGGGGGGAAATAGGGGAGGGACAGCGGGGGGTGGGGAGTCGGGGAGAGATAGCATGGGGAGAAATGCCAGATATAGGTGAAGGGGAGGAAGGCAGCAAGTCACACTGCCATGTGTGTACCTATGCAACAATCTCGCATGTTCTTCACATGTACCCCAAAACCTAAAATGCAATAAAATAAATAAATTAATTAATTAATTTAAAAAGAAAAAGAAAAAGAAATCCTATAAGCCAGTTGAGATTGGGGGCCATAGTCACCATTTTTAAAGATAAGAAATTGAACCCAGAATTTCATATCTGACCAAATTAAGCTTCAAAAGTGAAGGAGAAACAAGATCCTTACAGACAAGCAAATGCTGGGAGAATTCATTACCACCAGATCTGCCTTACAAGATCTCCTGGAGGAAGCAGGAAAGGAAAGACCCTTGCTAGCCACCACAAAAACACTGAAGTATACAGACCAGTGACACTATAAAGCAACCACATAAGCAAGTCTGCAAAATAACCAGCTAACATAATGATGACAGGATTAAATTCATACATATCAATACTAACTATGAATGCAACTGGGCTAAATGCCTCAATTAAAAGACATAGTAGCAAGATGGAAAAATAAGCAAGACCCATTAATATTCTGTGTTCAAGAGACCCATCTCACATGCAATGATACACATAGACTCAAAATAAAGAGATGATGAAAAATCTACCAAGCAAATTGAAAACAGAAAAATCAGGGGTTGCAATCCTAGTTTCAGACAAAACAGACGTCAAACCAGCAAAGATCAAAAAAAGACAAAGAAAGGCATTACAAAATAGTAAAGGGTTCAATTCAACAAGATCTACTATCCTACATATCTATGCACCCAACACAGGAGCACCCAGATTCATAAAGCAAGTTCTTAGAGACCTTGAAAGAGACTTAGACTTCCACACAATAATAGTGGGAGACTTTTATATCCCACTGACAATATTAGACAGATCATTGAGACAACATTAAGATATTCAGATCCTGAACTCAGCACTGGATCAAATGGACCTGATAGACGTCTGTAGAACTCTTCCCCCAAAACAACAGAATATGTATTCTTCTCATTGCCACATGGCACATACTCTAAAATTGATTATATAATCAGAAGTAAAACACTCTGGCTGGGCACAGTGGCTTATGTCTATAATTTTAGCAATTTGGGAGGCCAAGGCAGGCAGATCAGCTGATGTCAGGAGTTTGAGACCAGCCTGGCCACATGGTGAAACCCCATCTCTACTAAAAATACAAAAGTTAGCCAGGCATGGTGGCGTGTGCCTGTAATCCCAGCTACTCAGGAGGCTGAGGCAGAAGAATCACTTGAACCTGGGAGGCAGAGATTGCAGTGAGCTGAGATGGCACCACTGCACTCCAGTCAGGATGACAGACTAAAAGAACTAGAGAACCAAGAGCAAACAAATTCCAAAGTTAGCAGAAGACAAGAAATAACCAGAACCAGAGCTGAACTGAAGAAGAGTGAGACACAAAAAACCATTCAAAAGATCAATGAATCCAGGAGCTGGTGTTCTGAAAAAAAGTAATAAAATATACCACTAGCTAGACAATATAGAAGAAAAGAGACTATTCAAATAAACACAATCAGAAATGACAGGGGGGATATTACCCTGAACATGGAAATACAAACAACCATCAGAGAATATTATGGACACCTCTATGCACATAAACTAGAAAATATAAAAGAAATGGACAAATTTCTGGACACGTACACCTTCCAGAGACTGAACCAGGAAGAAATTTAATCACTAAACAGACCAATAACAAGTTCTGAACTTCAGTCAGTGATAAATAGCCTACCAACCAGAAAAAGCCCAGGACCAAATGGATTCACAGCTGAATTCTACCAGATGTGCAAAGAAGAGCTAGTACCGTTCCTGCTGAAACTATTCCAAAAAATTAAGGAGGGGGGAACTCCTCCCTAACTCATTCTATGAGGCTAGCATCATCCTGATACCAAAACCTGGCAGAGACACAAGGCAAAAAGAAAACTTCAGGCCTATATCCTTGATGAACATTGATGCAAAAATCCTCAACAAAATACTGGCAAACCAAATCCAGCAGCGCATGAGAAAGCTTATTCACTATAATCAAATAAGCTTTATTCTTGGGGTGCAAGGTTGGTTCAACATACACAAATCAATAAATGTGATTCATCACATAAACAGAACTTATTGGTCTGTTCAGTGATTAAATTTCATCCTGGTTCAGTGTTTTTTGGTTTGTTTTTGTTTTTTGTTTTGTTTTGAGATAGTGTTTTATTATGTCGCCCAGGCTGGTCTTGAACTCCTGGGTGTAAGGGATCTACCCATCTTGGCCTCTTGAAGTGCTAGGATTACAGGCGTCAACCACTGTATGAACCACATACAGGCATGAATCCCAGCCATATGCTTGGGATTTGAAATTGCAGGTTAAAAAAAAATGTTGGGTGAATATTCTGGTAGCTGAATGTTTATACAAAACCAAAATTGTTTACTTGATATAATAAATTTCTAGAAATGGATTTATTAAGTTTCAGTGCAAAAATTTCTACCTGTGTACATGTAGCAGTATATAAGAATGTCCATTTGTCATTCCCTTATTTTGGGTCAAATTTTAATCAGTCTAGGGACTTAATCTTTGGTTCCCAGAGCAGAAATATCAGCATTACCTAGGTGAGCCTGTTAGAAATGCAGACTCTTATGCCCCATCCCAGATCTACTGAGTCAGAATCTACATTTTAACAAGCTCCCAGGGTAATCTAACATCACATCAAAGTCTGTGAAGCAATATTCTAAGGTAATTTATACAGGAGTCACAGAATAAATTGGTCTTAAATCTAGCCAAGGTAAGCCCAGGAAGCCCATACTGGCATTTGTTAATTAAGGTGAAAGTGACAAAGGATTAGTAGATTTTGTAAGAAGTGCTTGTTGGGTGCAGTGGCTCATGCCTGTAATCCCAGCACTTTGGGATGCTATGGTGGGAGGATCACTTGAGCCCAGGAGTTTGAGACCAGCCTGGGCAACAAAGTGAGACCCCATCTGTACAAAATGTTTAAAAAAATTAACCAGGCATGGTGGCATGCACTGTTGTTCCAGCTACTCAGGAGGCTGAGGCAGGAGAATCACTTGGTCCCAAGAGGTTGAGGCTCCAGTGAGCCATGATCATGCCACTGCATCCCACCCTGGGTGACAGAATGAGACCCTGTCTCAAAAAAAAAGGCACTTAATACTAACAAAATGCACAAAAGTATTCTAAATTAGCTTTTCTGGGAGACAGGCAAATGCAGATAAGCACAGAGCACTGACACATTTTCTCCCAGAACATAAGACCTGATGCTATTATCTCTCCAACTTCATCTTCACCCACCCAATCCCAAACACTCCATGCTTTAGCCTATTGTTTATCTAGTGATGTAAGAAAAAACTGAATTAGAATTACTTGCAGAATGTGGTACAATGCATACTCCCAAGCCCACTTCCAGAGGATCTGTTTCAGTAGGATCTGATATTATCATCAAGAATTGAAATTTTTACAGGCACACCAGGTAATTATAATGCCCTAAAGTTCGAGAACTACTATACCACCACACTTCCCAGAACATATCTGGAATGTATTGTTTAAGCAATATTTTATTTGCTATGAAAGAATATTCACAAATCAGGCATGGTGGCGTGCACCTGTAGTCCAGCTACTCAGGAGGCTGAGACAGGAAGATTGCTTGAGCCCAGGAGTTCGAGGCTGCAGTGAGCTATGATAATGCCCCTGCACTCCAGACTGGGTGACAGAGCAAGACCTTGTCTCTAAGAAAAATAAAAACAAAAATAATATTCCCATTTTTTACAAAGACTTCAACCAGAATTCACTTTTTTGTTATTATTGTTGTTAGATCATTAAATAAGTCTAGAAATTCTAATTAATTTTTAGCCCTCTCTAGTTCTGACCAAGTTGCTGAGGATGGAGAAAACAAATCCTATTCAAACTGTTATTCCTAATTCTGGAGACTGCCTTTTTGGGTCAATCCAAATTTATTTCAGATGACACTTCAACACGTTTTCTTTTCTCTTACTATATTTTGGTGAAAGAAATTCATACTGTGGAAAGAAATATTTTCCATTAAAAATTATGTTAAAATGTATTACTCTCATATAAAATATATGTTATATCAAAAGTATTCTGATTTTAAAATATAAATAACTTTTTTTAATGTAGGAGGAGCAAAGAAAAAAGAAAGCAGCACATACAAAAGGTATTTTTTCTCAATAATTTATTAGAAGAAATCTTAATAAACTTTAGCAAATGACATCTTGAAAAATCAAGAGGCTATCCTAAATGTCATCTAAGTATCTTAATGGTATGAAAATGTAAGGGAAGCATTAATTTATTAGTATGTAAAAGGGCATAAATTTTTTAGAAAAATGAAACTTGCAGTATTACATCTTAAACTAAAATGTGAAGTTTTAATTTTTATCTCTTATTTGTACCCAAAGATAGTCAATGTCATATAGTAGTGCTTGTGGATAAAAAGATACTGCATATTACATCTTAGTGCCTCAAAGCATTACCTTTGATAGAATTTTTTTTCTTTTTGTTTCTTTTTCCTTCTACATAATTTTAGGGATGCTGAACAGAAAATATAAAAAGATATTTTACAGAGCTTTAAAAATGTGGAAAATATGAAAAGTTAATATGTTTAGACCTTCAGTGGCTCACGCCTATAATCCCAGCACTTTGGGAGGCTGAGACAGGTGGATCACTTGAGGCCAAGAGTTCAAGACCAGCCTGGCCAATATGGTGAAACTCCCATCTCCACGAAAAATACAAAAATTAGCTGGGTGACATGGCACAGGCCTGTAATCCCAGCTACTTGAGAGGCTGAGGCTGGAGAATCATTTGAGCCCAGGAGGCGGAGGCTGCAGTGAGCTGAGACCACACCACTGTATACCAGCCTGGGTGACATAGTGAGACTCTGTCTCAAAAAAAAAAAGTTAATGTGTTTGCAAGAATGGCCTTATACAGAAATTTTTTAAAAAGTTAATATGTAAAATGTTATAAAAGGTATTATAGAATATTGTATAGATATAATATTTTCCAAAACAACATATTTTAATGGCCAATGTGCAGCCTAAATACTATAATGGGAAAAGCATGAGACAAAGTAATGAAAATCTAGGCTAAAATCTATTTTGTATCTGATTTATAATGGTTCATTTATCTAAGTCTGTTTATTCTTTTTGTGAAGTGGTGCTAATAACAACTATCTTGAAGAATTATTAAGAGCATAAGTAACATATAGAAGTATATCCAAATGCTTTGTAAATTGAAAGTCTCTATAGAAAGGTTCGTTACTATTATTGGTGTTAAGCCAATTCATCTGCCCTTCCCAATGCAGACCAAGTATTTTCTAATACTTGCTTAAAGAGGCACGTACTTATCTTTTTTGATGTTTAGTTGTCCTTATTTTAAAATGAAACAATTAGTTATAAATACCTTTGCTCCAAATAGATACTATGTATCTTACAAGTGATTTTTGCTTGGTTTTGAGTTGTAAAGATTAGTAGTTATTTATTTTCTTTTTTTTAAATGTTCATTTTTTTCATATATGTAGTAGTTATTTCTACAATCATAAATGATTATTTCTTTTTCAGAAAGCTGAATTTGTAATGTAATATTTACAAAAATTGAATATGTGAAAAATGTCAGTTTACTAATTATACCAGTATTTTTAAAACAAGGCAGTCTTCTAATTTTAAAGAAAATTTTGAAGCATGTCTAGCCTAATTAGTCTTTTTCTGCTTGAGCATGTTGACTTCATTTAGAGTAGACTTTTCCATTCTTGATTATCATGAAAATATTGCTAATTCCTAATTACATGTAACACTGTGTGGATGATGATAGCAACTCAGAATTTATTTATAGCATTATTCTGCCCATTCTAAAATTGTCCTTATAATTAAGGGTTGGCTCATGAATATGTAATATTCATAGCAAATCTATCTTTTTACAGCAATTAAAGATCATTCTAAAGATGAGTCCTGCCATGCAACAAAAAAAGTCATTTGTGATCCCTCTGAGGGATCCCCAACAAATCGCAGCAGTGTTACATTAAGCTTATCAACATTGCCATCTGATTCTTATTACAGTCAAAGTATAGAAGCAGCTGATGACTGGTTTTCTGATGATTCTCTAGTGAAAAAGAACTCTTCAACGCCTTCTCTCGGGGGACCTCTACTGGAAAAAGTATATCCATACTTGTCAACCATTTCACTGGAAGAGGGTACTGAAGATGTACTAAATGACACTTTGTGATCATCAAAAAGATGACCACATTAAGGGAAAATGTTCATGAAGAAACACAGAGGTTGAAATACAAAACCTTCATCATAATACTGAATGACTTCTTTCTTTTGAAACCTCCTATGCACTGGAATCAATTAACAGCTTCTGAGTCTCTTAACATGTCCATACTAATATTACTTTTTTGTTCTTTACCATAGAGTGGCTCTACTTAACTTGCTGGTTCTTATTTCTAGAAACAAAGTTAGGAAGAACTAGAAGTGATGTCATGAACATTAAGCTTAACTTACTGTATCTCATCCAAAGACATACTAACTAGTATGAATGTATTTTGACAAATAGGAGAAAAACATTTAAAAATCTTCATCCCTCCCAATTTTTTTTTTTTTTTTTTTGAGATGGAGTTTCACTCTTGTTACTGAGGCTGGAGTGCAATGGCATGATCTCGGCTCACCGCAACCTCCGCCTCCTGGGTTCAGGCAATTCTCCTGCCTCAGCCTCCTGAGTAGCTTGTACTACAGGTGCACGCCACCATGCCCAGCTAATTTTTGTATTTTTGGTAGAGACGGGGTTTCACCTTGTTGACCAGGATGGTCTTGATCTCTTGACCTCGTGATCCACCCACTTCAGCCTTCCAAAGTGCTGGGATTACAGGCTTGAGCCACCGTACCTGGTCCCATCCCAAAAACTATATATATTTATGTAAATATGTATGTATTTTTTTCTTTTGTTATTTATTTATTTTTAATTGTACTTTAAGTTGGGGTACATGAGCAGATCTTGCAGGATTGTTGCATAGGTACACACATGCCATGGTGGTTTGCTGTCTCCATCTCCCCATCACCTACATCAGGCATTTCTTCCAGTGTTATACCTCCCCAACCTCCCTACCCACTGCTGTCCCTCCCCTAGCCCCCCATCCCCCAACATACTCCACTGTTGATGTTCTCCTCCCTGTGCCCATATGTTCTAATTGTTCAACACTCACCTATGAGTGAGAACATGTAGTGTTTGGTTTTCTGTCAGTTTGCTGAGAATGATGGTTTCCAGCTTCATCCATGTCCCTACAAAGGGCACAAACTCATCGTTTTTTATGACTGCATAGTATTGCATGGTGTATATGTGCCACATTTTCTTTGTCCAGTCTATCATTGATGGGCATTTGGGTTGGTTCCAGGTCTTTGCTACCATAAACAATGCCACAATGAACATATGTGTGCATGTGTATTTACAATACAATGATTTATAATCCTTTGGGTATATACCCAGTAATGGGATTGCTGGGTCAAATGGAATTTCTATTTCTAGATCCTTGAGGAATCACCACACTGTCTTCCATAATGGTTGAACTAATGTACACTCCCACCAACAGTGTAAAAGTGTTCCTATTTCTCCACATCTTCTCCAGCATCTGTTGTCTCCAGATTTTTTAATGATCGCCATTCTAACTGGCGTGAGATCGTATCTCAATGTAGTTTTGATTTGCATTTCTCTAATGACCAGTGATGATGAGCATTTTTTCATATGTTTGTTGGTCTCATATATGTCTTCTTTTGAAAGGTATCTGTTCATATCCTTCAACCACTTTTTGATGGGGTTGTTTTTTTCTTGTAAATTTGTTTTAGTTCTTTGTAGATTCTGGCTATTAGCCCTTTGTCAGATGCGTAGATTGCAAAAATTTTTTCCCATTCTGTTGGTTGCTGGTTCACTATAATGATTGTTTCTTTTGCTGTGCAGAAGCTCTTAAGTTTAATTAGATCCCATTTGTAAATTTTGTCTTTTGTTGCCATTTCTTTTTGTGTTTTAGTTGTGAAGTCCTTTCCTATGCTTATGTCCTGAAGGGTTTTGCCTAGGTTTTCTTCTAGGGTTTTTATGGTGTTAGGTCTTGTGTTTAAATCTTTCATCCATCTGTAGTAATTTTTGTATAAGGTGTAAGGAAGGGGTCCAGTTTCAGCTTTCTGCACATGGCTAGCCAATTTTCCCAACACCATTTATTAAAAAGGGAATCCTTTCCCTATTTCTTGTTTTTGCTGAGTTTGTCAAAGATCACATGGTTGTAGATGTGTAGCATTACTTCTGAGGCCTCTGTTCTGTTCCATTGGTCTATATCTCTGTTTTGGTGCCAGTGCCATGCTGTTTTGATTACTGTAGCCTTGTAGTATAGTTTGAAGTCAAGTATTGTGGTGCCTCCAGCTTTCTTTTTTTTTTCTTTTGCTTAGGATTGTCTTCACTATGCGGGCTATTTTTTGGTTCCATATGAATTTTAAGGTGGTTTTTTCCAGTTCTGTGAAGACAGCCAATGGTAGCTTGATGAGGATAGCATTGAATCTATAAATTACTTTGGTCAGTATGGCCATTTTCACGATATTGATTCTTCCAAACCACGAGCATGGAATGTTTTTTCATCTGTTTGTGTCCTTTCTTATTTCCTTGAGCAGTGGTTTGTAGTTCTCCTTGAAGAAGTCCTTCACATCCCTTGTTAGTTGTATTTCTAGATATTTTATTCTCTTTGTAGCGATTGTGAATGGGAATTCACTTATAATTTGGCTCTGTTTGTCTATTATTAGCATATATGAATGCATGTGATTTTTTGCATTGATTTGGTATCCTGAGACTTTGCTGAAGTTGTTTATCATCTTAAGGAGATTTGGGGCTGAGAAAATGGGGTCTTCTAACTACACAATCATGTTGTCTTCAAATAGAGACAATTTGATTTTCTCTTTTACTAATATAATATCCTGTATTTCTTTTTCTTGCCTGATAGCTCTGGCTAGAACTTCCAATACCATATTGAATAGAAGTGGTGAGAGAGGGCATCCTAGTCTAGTGCCAGATTTCAAAGGGAATGCTTCCTGTTTTTGCCCATTCAGTATGATATTGACTGGGGGTTTGTCATAAATAGCTTTTATTATTTTGAGATACGTTCCATTGATACCTAGTTTATTGAGGATTTTTAGCAGAAAGGGCTGTTGAATTTTGTCAAAGGCCTCCTCTGCATCTATTGAGATAATCATGTAGTTTTTGTTTTTGGTTCTGTTTCTGTCATGGATTACGTTTATAGATTTGTGTATGTTGAACCAGCCTTGCATCCCCCAAATGAAGCCTACTTGATTATGATGGATAAGCTTTTTGATGTACTGTTGCATTGAAATTTGCCAGTATTTTATTGAAGATTTTTACATCTATGTTCATCATGGATATTGGCCTGAGATTTTCTTTTTTAGTTGAGTCTCTGCAAGGTTTTGGTAACAAGATGATGTTGGTCTTGTAAAATGAGTTAGGAAGGATTCCCTCTTTTTGTATTATTTGGAATAGTTTAAGAAGGAATGGTACCAGCTCCTCTTTGTACATCTGGTAGAATTTGGCTGTGAACCTATCTGGACCTGGACATTTTTTGGTTGGTATTAATTGCTGCCTCAGCTTCAGCCCTTGTTACTGGTCTATTCAGGGTTTCAACTTCTTCCTGGTTAGTCTTGGGAGGGTACAAGTGTCCAAGAATCTATCCATTTCTTCCAGATTTACTGGTTTATGTGCATAGAGTTGTTTGTAGTAATCTCTGATGGTAGTTTCTATTTCTGTGGAATCAGTGGTGATATCCTCTTTATTATTGTTTATTGCATCTATTTGATTCTTCTCTCTTTTCTTTTTTATTAATCTGGCTAGTGGTCTGTCTATTTTGTTGATCTTTTCAAAACACCAGCTCCTGGCTTTATGGACTTTTTGAAGGGTTTTTTGTGTCTCTATCTCCTTCAGTTCTCCTCTGACCTTAGTTATTTCTTGTCTTCTGCTAGCTTTTGAGTATTTTTGATCTTGCTCCTCTAGCTCTTTCAATTTTGATGATAGGGTGTTGATTTTAGATCTTTCCTCACTTCTCATGTGGGCATTTATTGCTATAAATTTCCCTCTAGACACTGCCTTAAATGTGTCCCAGAGATTCTGGTATGTTGTGTTTTTGTTTTCATTGGTTTCAAAGAACATCTTTATTCCTGCCTTCATTTCATTGTTTATCCAGTCATCATTCAGGAGCCAGTTGTTCAGTTTTCATGTAGTTGTGTGGTTTTGAGTGTGTTTCTTAATCCTGAATTCTAATTTGATTGCATTCTGGTCTGAAAGACTGTTTGTTATGATTTCTGTTCTTTTGCATTTGCTGAGGCATGATTTACTTCCAATTATGTGGTCTATTTTAGAGTAAGTGTGATGTGGTGCCGAGAAGAATGTATATTCTGTGGATTTGGGGTGGAGAGTTCTGTAGATGTCTATTAGCTCCACTTGGTCCAGATCTACATTCATGTCCTGAATATCCTTGTTGATTTTCCGTCTCGTTGAGCTGTCTAATATTGACAGTGGAGTGTTAGAATCTCCCACTATTATTGTGCAAGAGTCTAAGTCTCTTTGTAGGTCATTAAGAATTTGCTTTATGTATCTGGGTTCTCCTGTATTGGGTGCATATATATTTAGGATAGTTAGCTCTTCTTGTTGCATTGATCCTTTTGCTGTTATGTAATGCCATTCTCTGTCTCTTTTGATCTTTGTTGGATTAAAGTCTGTTTTATCAGAGACTAGGATTGCAACCCCTGCTTTTTTTTTCTCTCCATTTGCTTGCTAAATCTTCTCCCATTCCTATATTTTGAGTCTATGTGTGTCTTTGCACATGAGATGCGTCTCCTGAATACAGCACACTGATGGGTCTTGAGTTTTTATCCAGTTTGCCAGTCTGTGTCTTTTGATTGAGGCATTTAGGCCACTTACATTTAACATTAATATTGTTATGTGTGAATTTGATCCTGCCGTTTTGTTACTGGCTGGTTGTTTTGCCTGTTAATTGATGCAGTTTCTTCATTGTGTCGTTGTCCTTTACCATTTGGTGCATTTTTGCAGTGGCTGGTACTGGTTTGTTCCTTTAATGCTTCCTTCAGGATCTCTTGTAAGGCAGGTCTGGTGGTGACAAAATCTCTCAGCAATTGCTTGTCCATAAAGATTTTTATATCTCCTTCACTTATGAAGCTTAGTTTGGCTGGATATGAAATTCTGGGTTGAAAGTTCTTTTCTTTAAGAATGTTGAATATTGGCCCCCACTCTCTTCTGGCTTGTAGGATTTCTGCCAAGAGATTTGCTGGGAGTCTGATGGACTTCGCTTTGTGGGTGATCCAACCTTTCACTCTGGCTGCCCTTAGCATTTTTTCCTTCATTTCAACCCTGGTGAATCTGACGATTATGTGCCTTGGGGTTGCTCTTCTTGAGGAGTATCTTTGTGGTGTTCTCTGTATTTTTTGCATGTGAATGTTGGCCTGCATTGCTAGGTTGGGGAAGTTCTCCTAGATAAT